ATTTACCAGCGAGTATTTTATCCCAGGTCGTATTTTCCCAAGGGAACCACAAATTTTAAGCGTTTTGTCTAATGGAGGTAAAGATCACCAGTATGAACTAGCTGAATGGGCGGATGTTCCACCGGTCATAGACCAACAGAAAATGTTGTCCAGTCGCTTCTTGTTTGAATGGATCAAAGCTCCATCAAAAGTTTGACTGCAGCGAACTTCTGGCTTTATTCCGCTCACGCATTAGTGCAATTGCGGTCCATGTGATAATGAATCTCCTTGAGGGTTTAATTACACCATCAAGGGACGAAGACAGTTTTATTCTTTGATTAATCTTCAATCCTCTGGTTGTCCTTCCACTGACTTGCTTGTTTACACCCACAGAAGAGGAAAATCGGGATATTTCCTTCCGACATCTGCCGCTTAACGTCCATCTAATTTGAGGTTCGTTTAGTCACCTTATCATCTAAATAGATGGCTTTCGGTTCACAAGCCATACTGGGCCGCGTTACCCGGTCTTGCGGTTGCTCAATTTGCGTATGCAAGCTTCTAAACCCCCACTGGAGCGGGGATAATAAATAGCGTGCGGATATTTAGATATAAATTTGGCTTGCCTTAGGTAATATTGGACACGTACTGACGAAATCTTGTTTGTCTGATGCTCTTCTCATGGGTTACGAATCAATCGCCACCCCATATTGGATGTGCCCGTATACGGTCTGCCGACAGAGATCGCACATAGCACAACTTTCACACGAAGTGTTCTTTTGTAATGCCGAATTATACGTCATAGGATACTGGACAGATTAGGCCATGATATTTATATTTCTTCTTGGCACACTTAGGACAAAGACACCGTGGTGAATTGGATATATTCCACAACATCAACGAGATCTCTCGGGAATATCCTATTCACTCCATTCAATTGTATTTAGTCTGTTCAGTGGGAATACAATGAAGGTGGGGGTGAACTTTTCCTTTCGAACACAGTTCAAAGTCCTAACTACTCTGACAGCATTTTGACATGAGGAAACACCAACAGCTCTTTGGCAAACACGTGCTAGTTTTTTTCCTTGACGGAACATACTACTGATAAGGTTGTTGAAGATCGTGCACCGTGCTGCTACCGCCCTCACCGTTCTTGATTCTTATCGGGTAGATGTAATTCCAGAGTTTCTATCAACTTGATGTTTGACCTTACCAACATGTTGTATGCAAACTCCATTGGCGCTACCGAGGGACTCAAACGAATATCTAATTTACGAATTAACATCGCTGAATGACGCATTACTAGACAGAACGTGATCAATCACCGTAAATAAACCAGTAAGTTTCGTTACTGTCAAGCAGTTTTAGTCCTAGGATGTCGCTGTAACTGCGAAACGGCACAGTTTTCATTTTTCATACTGCCCCACCGAGACTACAAAAAGATACTAGAAACCTTGTTTTGCAATAACAGATGTGGAAGACAAAACGGAGATTTCATTTTTTCATTAGATTGTGAATTGAACGGTAATGAGTCCTCTGACACCAAAAAAGTGTGCGAACCAATGGAGTAATTTTGTGTTCTTCATGCTATTGTTTCATGATAGACTTGGACCCGTGATAACTTCTCTAGATTTAAAGACACTGTTGAATCTCCCGCAAAACCAGATCGGTTTGCAAACGAGTGTATTTCCTGAAATGGGTATAAGTAGAACATAAGGTTGGAAAAAATTCTGGAGCATCAAGAAGAGCGAAACCATTCGCGGAATGTTCAACTAACTTCAGTAAACTTACTAGTAATGTGTTCCATGAAAAAAGTATACTCAGATATCTGGAATATCAAACCAACTGGAACAGGGAGCAAACTTTTGCACAGTACATCTGGTTGAAGAGTATCATCAATGAGACACTCATCCGGGTGCCCAGTGAAGACCGTACTGGTGTGCAACTGAGTGCCTCCGGCTGTTTTGATATTTTTCCAACCACTAGAATTACTCGTATTCTATCAGGATATTTTGTGATCGTCAGTCGCTCTATTCACCATCGGTAATCACTTTGAGGTTGCCAATAGCTTCAGGTTCGTGGAAGTAGGTGTCCACTTCGAATTCCAAGGACTAAAAATGCCTTCAAAGATGTTGATTATCTATGGTAGATCTGAAAGAAACAATTCTTCGATCTTAGTAACTCATCATCACGGATAAGACTTTGGTCTTTCACTGAAGGAAATATTCTTAGGTTCGTTTTTTTACGCAGTATTGTGCGTGTAAGCCACTCAGGTGGCTTTCCCAAATACAGAAGATCAGCGTAAGAAAACATAATCGATCGTCATCGTAGCCGGTGGCCGGATCACGTGCCGGCAGTTATGACGTAACGACCCCGATCGAATGTTTTTGTTGCCCTCCCAGATCGAAGTTTTGAAAAAAAATGGCGGGAATATCAAAGTGTGTTATGGTGAATAACCACGACGCTTGTTCGATACCTCTAGACATCATGGCTTGGAAATAATCACTTGTAACTAGTCTTCGTAGATCTGGCGCGGGACCATTTCCACTGAGGAACGTGTCTATTATTTTTTGAGGAAATAATCCTATCGTATTAGTATTGTTATCATTCATTTTTCTTGTTATTTTTCGGCGACGTATCATTTGAACAAGCAAGCACAGTCGTTCTTGTGACTCGCCACACAGAGCCAATATACACTTGCTGAGGACAGCACTTTGGGAAGGAGAATTACAAGTTATGCGTAATAGGGAGGGATTGACGTAATACAAAATAGCTACGGATTCTATACTACTGCTTGAAGCACGGTCAAGTCCGGAGAACACCAAACTATTTATTCAAATCTGTCATGTGAACTGTGGTTATTAACCAAGTTCCAAATTTGGTGCACAATAGAAATGTGCGAATGTTGACTGAAACATTCCGGACTTCAGACCAATTTTTCGATCAATAAGTACCTTCCCAGCTGAAAGATGAGAAGACCTTTTTGCGACACGTTTGGTTAGAGAATAACAGATGAATTGCAGTCGACTTTTCGCTCAAGACCAAGTTATATTGCAAATTGGTGAGTATCACAACATACGTACAACTTTGTTTTAAAGTGGGAAATAATATCTAGGAAAATTTGGAAATTACAGCTGCTTGATGATCTCTGAAGGAACTAAAATCCGGCTGTTTTTTTTTAATTTTTCAAGAATGCTTTTGAAACTATCTTTCGTTTTCCTATTTCCTGATCAATCGTGCCCATTGTGTCTACAATCAGTTCCATGTTCTTTGTTGATCGATTTTGATTTGTAGACACTTGCAAGTGGCATTAGTTGTATTAGGGGAACCAGCTTCGAACGTAACGGGACTACATAACAGGCAATGGAATAACTGTTTGTCGTTGAGACAGATTTCATTGGTTGTTCTTCAATCGCCCTTGACAGATGAGTTGTATTCTTAGTATCACTTCTGACCGCTCGTACGCGACAGTGATCAACAGAGTAGCTGGCTCGCACGTTCACTGACTTTTCTGGTTCGGCCAAGCGCACCAGGCGATTAACTGGCTATCCAGACCGGTGTTCACGGTAACAAGAAGGCATTAAGGAACTGTGGTCCACTACAATTTGACACATTTGTTCTGATAAATCAGGTTTGACAATCTCTTGAGGTGTGTTTACGCTTTTACACTCAGCTGACACTTTAAATGGACATCTCTTCGTGAAAATTTACCTTTATAGAGAGGTTGTCGAAAATTGGTAATCCGTTTCTTGTCTCTCCTTTCAATCCAGCAAAATTCTGATGGGCAATACGTAGATTGCTTTCAACGAGCAGCCTATAGAGAGGACGCCAACCAACTACTGACCCTGTTGCTACATGGAACCCTTTACTCTGTCAAGGTGGAAAAATGCGTTTGGAGTTCGGAGAAGTTTTTCCAAGGTCGATATTCGTTGGCGCAACTACGTCGGGCTTTGAGTTCAGGTGATTTCAAAGATGCCTTTTCTGAGCCAGGAGCGTGGTATATTGGTGACCCGTTACACATCGAGTCTATAGGATGTTCTAAAAAGGAGATTAATTTCTTTGGTTGTCTAATAACCTATGTTACATTAGATCAAGACAGCGATTGAGGATTACCTCTAGATCGGGGTCATACATATGCTCACCAGAACATTTCACATCATGTTTCTGAGAATGTGTGTCAATTATGGCTCAGAAAGAGGCTCATTACTACGAGAAGTGTTTGCTGGGAACTGACCTGAGCGTCTATATTTTCTATCGGAACTGATGCACGTCCGTTCAGTTGTTGTCTTGTGGACACAGAGATAACAGTCGGTCAGGAGCTGTTATCGCTGAAACAGGGGAGATTTCGTGTTCGGGAAAACTACTGGATTCGATTGCCTAAATTGGTCTCACCAACAAAGCAAGAAGACACAGAGTTTGGAACTGAGTTCTTCAGTCGCACTCTTAATTCGTAAGGGATAGGCAAAGTAACAAAGACTGAATGTTGAATATCACAGTACACCTTTTACGAAAGTTGGGATAATCTGAAATGATAAGTTATGTGAATAAACGATTGTTTGTTATGCTCTGATGAAAATCGTTTCCATAGATACCAACCATTTTGTTGGTTTAAGTATCACAGTCCAATCGTGAAGGTTTGGGAGAGGTAAACGAATTTAACGTGTTTCGAAGATGTCATGTAACTACACTCATTTGCAAACCAATTCAGTTTTGTGAGAAACTCGCCTGGAAACCAGCTGAACCTCTCGTTTGTGATGTTTCCAGGCTACTGAATGTGCTGCACCGGGCCACCTCATGTTTTAGTTGCCACAATATTCGAGATATCGCGATTCATGTATATTCGTAATACACTACTCATGAGGTTGCTGAAAATTCTTCGACACCCCACGAGAGCCTGGAAACATCACAAACGACAGGTTCAGCTGGGTTCAACGTGAGTCTCTCGCAAAACCGGATTCGTTTGCAAATGAGAGTAGTTCGCTAATTCCGTGCAATTGTGTTTCAAGTAGAACATAAGGTTGACGGAAAACTCGGGGACTGCGCATACCTGATGAGGCTCAAGAAGGGCGAAACCGGTCGTGAGCTGTCGACGAATATTCAGCAACCTTATGAGTAGTGCATGTCATGCGAGTGACTTATCGTCGGTACCGAACCGTTATCTGCCTATTATTTGACTCGTAACAGCCTTTCAGACAAGCATCTAGAGATCCGCTGAGAAACGCACTGGTCCATTTTACTTACGTATCCCACTGTCACTGCTAATGGATTGATAGAGGACGTGCAGTTTTATGGTCAACCAAACCTTCAGATTTTGTCTGAACCACAAGTTGTGTGGCTGTAGGGACCACGCATACCCGAGCGACTGGAAGCGTCCCATATTATTAGCAGTATCGTCTTTTTTAATCAATGAACACAGTGGGACGTTTTTATAGAAATTGCGCTAAGAAGGTCGGCCGACGTGTTCAGGTTCTTGGGAATAAAACTGAGCCCGTCTTCGATAGGCGCCTGTCTTAGTAGGTCATCTTTGGCTAGTTTATCTGGTTTCGCACACGTTGGGTAGAAAATAATCTTGTGGTTACACACACCCAACGTGTGCGAACCAGAAAAGCGAGCGGAGACCCTACTGAGAGAGGGACTGATCGCCTACGGCCAACCGAACGAGCTCATTGTTCTTCACAACAAACTGAACACATTGACCGACGTGTTTAGCGCCATTCCTAGAAAAGGGTTCTACCGTGTCAGTCGATTAACAGCCACGATGCTGTTAATAACATGAGACAAACACGGAAGCCCCCTGTTTCTCAGGTAGGCATGATCTCTGCGTACAGTTGACGAAAATATCCTTTATCACCGAATAATGGAGTTTCATGGAAAACGGATATCACGATGTAAATTTTACCAAGAAATAATCATTTTTCGGGTAATGAGGCTTGGTAACATCCAGATATTTTTACAACACCTCAGTGCTACTTACTTTATTTTGATAAATGATGATGACAAAAGTAGGAGGGTTTCCGGATTCACTCTGATCCAGTCATTCACATTCGAAGGGTTGTTGAAAACTTACTTCGAATTAACCGAAGATTTTTAACTGATACCCTATATGCGCGTTGATGAAACGTCAGGCCTCCGAAAAGTCGATATTCGCTCATCAGTCATACGTCTGATGGAAAATGGACAAATAAACTGGTTACTGATAACAACGTGCCCGGTCCGCATGGTTGCCGGTCCACGGAAAGAGGGTGCTCTTGGGCCGTAGGGAAGAACATTTAAGAGGCTGCAACAGTTGATAACTGGATATGTTTCGAGGAAGGGACCGGGCGTAAAATAAGTCATGAGGGTGTTTTCCTTCGTTATCTTTTGGGCCAAAACTCCGCCAAAATATGTACAAGTTCCTCAACCTTGACTTAAAATTGAAGGTGTTGAAGATCACGATGCTGTTGTTGTCTAATAATTAGTATTTTTAGTGGCTATTTTGTATTCTTCTATTTGTGTTTGCTTCAATCAGCTGATACCTGATTTTTTCTACTATTTTATTCGTCATTTTGCATCAAAAGCTCAAAAACACCTTCTTCCATAACTGCCACTCGCTTTCGAGCCTGAGTACTCAACAACAGGTTTGTGGATCTCTCACTCAATCCTGATACTATCATCTGTCCTCTTAAAACAAACGGTGATTTAGATGTAACATACTACTTATAAGGCTGCTGAAAAATCTCCGATAAGCCACGGCCGGATGCAACTATTTTCGGTCTAATCATTGAGCGGCTTCGTGCAGCATATTCAGTTGGAGCGGATCATTATGAAAACGAAATTCTGGTGACGTTATTACCTTATAATGAGGGAAGTTAATGGTCCGGAAAATGTGTAGTTCCAGGGAGTTCTAGTGTTTAGAAATCACACAAAGTGTGTGTGATTAGAATGCATGGTGGCTGAACAGTTTTCCCTGGTTGTTGTTGTTTCAGAAACAAGCGTTCAAACCATCCAGGTTTCAGGAAGCCACACGCATTACAGTGAATGCAATTGGTGAGCGTATCTTATAGGTCAAAACACTGACTGAAACTCAACGGAATAGACATGCGTAAACAGTCCGCCTGGGAGAGAACCTGATGGCACTCAGTATTCGCACAATGAGATTTAATTTTCGAAGGCTACGACGTGTCCCTGATGAACTGAAAGAGACAGGCTATTGAGTTCGGAGTACGTGTCTGAACTTTTGAGCCTAATCTAGGCACCCAGGTGTCTAAGCAGTGCTGGGAAAGTATTCCACCAGACTTTTGCCACTAGGGGAATAATTGCTTCAATGGACGATGAAATTTGGTGAGCTGCGAAAACATGAACTTAGATTAGGATGAGTTTTGGTGTGGGCACAAATGCGCTCACAAATGTTTTGCAGCTAAGGGCATCGTGTGGCCAATCGGCTCCGATCATTATAACAGGGAATGCTACAGTTTAAAAATTGACCTGGTTAGTTTCTTCTCTCTCT